AGCAAATTCCTTGCCAAGTCTCCATGCTAAGAGGGAAAGTGTATTTCAACCCAAAATATAATCCGTCATGTGTAACTTATGAAGGTTTCACTGATTAGATGATTTTAGATGAAACACTGAACCCCTGACAGGAGCTCAGGCGAAACATTCGCGGGAGGTTATATTCAATAACATATCGTTAGTTTTGCAACGCGTAGTTCGTGTACTTTTCATTTATGTTTTGTTCTGGTCAATTTTTAACCAATTGATCCTTTGTTGGTTGATTATTACTGCTAAATAATTTCGTTATTTCAATCGGTTTAGATATTATTTCAAGTTATTATCCGCTATCAACTTATTATTCGCTATCAACTTATTATCTGCCATCGTAAGGAGGTAGACCAAAGTAAGTCTTTCTTTATTTTACGTTTACCGTGTTTTCCTTTTATCTGTTTTTTTTATTTTTTATTTTTTATTTTCATGCACTCACTTCTGTTTATAATCGCTTCAATGTAAGTTATACCCAGGTCCCAGAGGTTCTCTTCTCTCTTAAAAAAATAGGATAAATCTCTTCTCTCTTAAAAAAATCGGCGCAGAGCGCCGACAACGAGCTGCGAAGCAGCGAGCAGTCGAGAGAACCTCTGGTGGAGACCGTTGAGAACCTCACTTTGGTGCATTCAGCTGATGATCGTCGCGATCTGATTGGTTAGTATTGTTTTTTGTTTGATACTGACGTTTTCTATTGGCTGTTGAAAAGTGATAGATTTGATCAGCTGTAAAAACAGCTGAATGCACCAAAGTGAGGTTCTCAACGTTCTCCATCAGAGGTTCTCTCGACTGCTCGCTGCTTCGCGGCTCGTTGTCGGCGCTTGGCGCCGATTTCTTTTTAAGAGAGAAGAGATTTATCCTATTTTTTTTTTATAGAGAAGAGAACCTCTGGGACCAGGGTATGTAAGTTAGGTCAATTTTACATCTCCCCAGGGTATTTTTCTCAGTTCAGTTCCTCCTGAATTTTTTTTTTGGTTCGAACCACAAATTCAGCCACACAAATTCAGACACAAATTCAGACACAAATTCAGCTACAACCTTCAAACACAACCTCGCAACTTCACCGTTTTCATCCGTCTAATTCAACGCAATTTCGCACCGATTTCTCTATTCCAATTTATAATTTTGATTACCAACTGCTTTTAATTAAACCTTGATTTCTACTGTGCGTTTTAATTGTCTACTCCGCTCCGCTAGTAACCTTTAGAGGTTACACATACGAGAATTCAAAGTAACTCTTCTGTTGTATATTTAAGGGAAACCTTTCAAAAATGATTTCACAAATGAAAATATACTTGTGAACATGCACGGATTACCAGCTAACAAAGCTTTCAAAATGCACTTCAAGTTGTTTGGACAGGTAGTAAAGAGGAAGCGCACTCATTTCTAATGACCACTTTAAGAGAACTAGAAAGCTAATCACACAATGATTTTCAATTGCATAAAATAATTTTATGGGTTCAACATGTTATTACTCCAATCCTCTGTGTGACGAATCCGCGCCACAAAGGTGGGTGCCCCCTAACACAAACAAAACACAGAACATAAACGACTCCGAGAACACACGCCACAATACAACTAAACGTAGGCCTAGAGATATTTATTATGCTAATAAAACAATAAAGCGACTAACAATAACGATAATACAATGATCTAATTAATTTACAGGAATACGCTAACTTAAACTACAGTACACTAAAACTATTTACAAGATTATTACTATTAAGNAAAACCACACCGTACCAAACCACCCAAATCCTTAAATACACATGGACGCAAGGTGCCCGAAAAGAATGAAGAAAACTATTTGATATACACAATAAAGGTTAATTACACAACAGTTTACACAAGTGAAGAATAAAAATTACGTAACAGATACAAATAATCACGAACTACACTGATCCTAAGAGAATAAAAAAAAATAATTTACATTTAATAAATAAATTCCTAACACTTCCATGACACTCTGGAAGAAAAAATAGTCAAGTTTACAGCACAATTTACTTTTCAAGCAAGTACATGCCTTCAATTGTATGTTTTGTCTAGCAATAAGAAGTTATAATCATTCTTGTAAGTAATGGCGCATGAAGGAAGCCAAATTTTCTCCATGAGATGAGATAGGGTCTAAAAGTACTTACGAGTGACCACGAGTGACTACGAGTGACCACGAGTGACCACGAGTGACCACGAGTGAGATTAAAACAAAATATCCCAGTTTTGTTACTATGACGTCATTACGCAGTCAAATTCACCTCATTACATAAAATACCTATTTGAAAGGAGACTAATATTTTCCGCGGCATACGTCCGATAATTGAAAAAAATTCCAAAAACTATATTTAAAAAACCATAACTACAGCAACACGTATATTTTATTATATCACCGTGTTATTTAACTTTTTGAAAACACGCTAAGCGTTTGATTTGATTTGAGACACAACGCAACCAACGTTCCGCCACTGTCATCTACTCCTCCTCTACTCGACCGTAACAAAAATACAACTTCAAAGCGCGTGAAGTCTTTACGCTTCTTGTTTATAAGTCAGCCATTACCGAACTTGACAAGAAACACGCAAACCCATTCTAAAGCGCGCGGAAACGCCCAAAATGCCCTCCATGGTGTCTAGCTGTCTAGTTCCCACTGTTATTGTCGTATACTATTTTTGGAATCATACGGAGAGGTTAGGTGTAATAAAAAGTTGTCGTGATAAACATATTTTCATACGAATTGTTCACGACTCAAACGATATATAAGCTAAGAAAATAGGAGTAGTGAGTCTACGACGCAAAACCCAATGAAGTACTCGTCTAGACATCTCGTCGGCAGTACAGTTGAAAGTTGAATGGAATTTTCCAAAGTGAAGGGTTGATCATTGACATCATTGGGTTGTTAAAATAGAGCCAAATAAAATGGTCATGTGATATTTATGACTATTCTTAAAATCGTTTTTGTTTTCAACCTATCGTAACTGTGCAATCTGTAATGTATAGTCCACACTGCAAGTTTTTTATCGCATCTGTTTTTCATGTTTTTCAAATCGTCCGCTATGCATTTATACAGTGAATAACTTCAGTTTTCGTTACTAAATCATTATTTTACGAAATTAAGCAAAAATGATTCCGTAATGACGTCATAGTAACAAAACTGAGATATTTTGATTTAATCACACTCGTGGTCATTCGTGGTCACTCTTAAGTACTTTTAGACCCTATCATGAGATGAGGTAGTGAATAGTTATAACTTACAAGTGTAGAATGTTTATTTGAAAAAAAAACCATTCGAATTGTGCATAGTATTATGTTAAAAAAATTGAGGATCTATTATACATGGTTAAATATATCATGGTTTGTGATAACTAAACGAGTAATCAATACCTGTTCTTCACTAAAATTAAATACAAATAGATTGCTTAAAAAAATTGTTCCACAATTTACTGCTACACACGTTTCCAGGTATACGCTAAGATCGCTAACGCAGCATAAAAAGTGGCAAAGTATTCAATCTCTTGATCTTTCATAAATCCCTGTATCAGCATCGCGAAATAATATGTTGTAAAAATTTTTTTAAAGAACTCCAGCCTGTGTTCGAGAAGGCTATCAACTGCAGCAATTTTCCATTAAATTAGACAGCGCGTCTAAGAAATTAGACAGGATTTAATTTTGTCTATGGGAACCCAATCGAATGCTACGCTGAAAGATTTAAAGCCCTTTTAAAGCAATTTTTCTATGGCAATTTTTATGTGGCAATTTTTATTTGCCAATTTTTATTTGCCCGTGTAGATGATGAAAAATAACCAATTTTTATGTGACAACTGCAGTTGCTGTAAAGCTGGCGTGTTAGTTTTTATGTGGCAAATAAAAATTGCTACATAAAAAAATTGTCCGTGTAGATGAGACGCCACATAAAATGTGACAAACGCGCCTAAAGCTGCAACACGTCTGGCACGTCTTCTGACTTTCGCCATCTTGCTTTTTTCCTTTCCATGAGCATCTCCGCTGTGCAAAATTATTACTGACGCAAATTAAGAACAAATATTTGTCGAGCCATCTACACGGGCAAATAAAAATTGCCACATAGAGTTGCCACAAAAAATTGCTCGTGTAGACGGGGCTTTTAAGACCTGTTCAGGAAAAAAGGAAAGTAAATCACAGATCGATGATAGACACACTCGAAACTGTAAAGATCGCAAAGAAGCTTGCTTGTGACAACGAACAACGCAAAGGGCATTTTAGGAAAGTTTGGTTTATGCGCATGACTAAGTGAAAGATGCCCTTCCCCACCCTGCTTCAAAACGCTCCGTCGCCTCTGAGGCTAAATAGTGCTTACAAGAGTTCACAACGACGAGAGCTCTTGCGATTTGCTTTCGTCCCTATGCACTCGCCTCGCCCACGGGAACAAAACAAAATAAAGCTGTGAAAAGCGCTAATTTCAGGCAGAAGGAAAAGTTTCGCAGCAGGAGAAAAAGTAACTGAAAAAAAGTTGACCACGTCAGGCTATATCCATCCTCGTTCTTAGAGTATTCACCTATTTTATCATTGCAGCCTATGAAAATTACCATTGTAGCACTATGCAAAAGTAAGGCAAATGTTAATCGTCAATTGTTGTGTTTTGTGCTTCAGATGCATCACCGATATTAACTTCTTACTAACCACGCGTATGGACCGTGTTGGGGAATATTATTTACCCGAGGTCGTGGCCATAAGTATCAAGTACAGCTGTGCGAGTTCCATACAAAAACGACCTAGGACAACCCCAGTTCGAGCAAGCGAGGTTAATAAGTAGTTTATTACATGGCACTCGAACCATACTTGTTTATTTTGGATTTTTCGGCTTTCGCGATGAACAAAAATACACTGCTTAAGACCGTTTCCGCATACACCTAGAAACGTTTATGGCTGTGTAATATTCTCGTTTGTTACGCTGAAATGACGAAACAACAAAGCAGGCGAACAAGATCAACACAAACATGAAACTTATTTTTGGCATTTTAATCACAAAAAAATAACTTACAGATAGCAGACAATAATCGAGAAGGTCTAAATATTTACCTAACTATACTACTAAAATAATGCAGATGTAATATTGCCTATGATAGTATATTCATATAGTAACGAAACGACATAGAAAGCACCGTCAATCAAGTGACTGTCCGAAACAAATGTCGTAATGATTACACAATTCTGTGAAACTATTCTACAGAAATACTAAATTGTTACGTTATATCTCCATCTAGCGGGTTTGTCAGCAATAATCCTACGTACACTTACACTTTAAGACAATTGACGTAGAATGATAATAGTCATTTCCATTTCTTATGAGATTCAGTCATAATGTTCCCAGTTAAGTAAAGTCAGTAAAGTTGCGATTGCTTTCTGGAATATTACTTCTGTCTCCTATAAATCCTATCCTACATAAAAACAATTTTCAAAAATTCTAACCTGTTAGAGAACTATAAGACCATAAGATAAGACTTAATAGTTGTGCACTACACTTAAAAGGTGACTAAACTTTTCAACCGGCATCTGGTAAGATTCTTTATCAAAAAGTTTTTTCACGAAGTAAGTGCCGAGTACGAATCACCACAACTGAGAGAACGCAAATGGAAAGACCATCTAATAAACCCAAAGAAAAAGATTGAAAACCTGTGCTATATCTTAAATCATCTATTCTGTTGTAGCTCACCGTTTTCCTCGAGCTTTGCTTTCAGAAAACCGTTCGCATCTCGCAACAGTTAATTGTCCGCGGATAAATCTTAGAATACTTTAGCACCATGGTGGCTATTGATTACATAAACGCAAGGCCGTGCGAATAGACCATGGAGCGCGCAGTTTCACTTCAGTTCCCAACAAGTTTGGCCGTGAGGTTTTAAAACGTTTGAGATCGTTTTTCTGTTCCATCGCGATTGAGATCGACCTCTTGGAACTCAAAGTGAAAAGTGAATATGCTAAAAAATACTCGATTTGATAAACAAATGAAAGAACATGTAGCTCTTTCAAGCAACGAAATTAGCTTTGATTCAACGAAATTTGGCGATCTTCGACTTTTAGACTCTTCTTAAGAACGGTGAATTTTTTTCCCACATGACCACTGAGTATTCAAAGTTTTGAATCTGTGTTTGAATAAAAAAAGGCACAGATACATACATATGAAAGGCTCGTCCTGGACACCGTCAAAAAGCATCCTAAAAGGGAAACCTTTCCCTTATTTCCCAAGGTCGAAAAAGGACCTCACACTTCATAAAAAACATGAATTACTTTCTCAATATTATTTCATCCTAAGTTGAAGACCACAACTTGAATTCGGTTTCTTGGAAATGTAAAAGAGCCCCGCAATTGCAAGCCGGGCCGCTTTTTCCGGACCTGTTTAAATCAACGTGTCCGGCAATATACACTTCAGCTTTCAGAATCAGTGCTTTCCTGTAGAATAGCGGTGGGTGAGACCGTAATATTCATGTTTCAAAACTTTAAATTGATCTGTAGACTTTTTTCACAGTTGTCCAGCGCACACCCTTTGAATGTAGGCGCAAATATAACTCATAAGTTTAACATGAGGACTTGGTGGTCATATGATAAAGTACTCATAGATTGAGTTTCGTCAGACAGAAAGGAAAAACGTATTCATGGAGAAAGAACCCTACAATTTTCCCGTTCTAGCCTCTCACTCAGTCAATAAATAGAAAGTCGCCATTTTGAATCGATCACTGCCTTCATTTAGCCCGCTTCTTCAATTTGTCCGAGGGGAACATAAATTGATGGATTTCCATTAGGATTTGGCTGGGGACTTGTGGTACGTGTAACATTTTTCATATTACGATTCTTCCAACAAACCCACCCAAATAAAAAAGGAATTAGATACACAAGTACATCCTTTAAAACTTGATCGGCAGTTTCCTTCCCATTATACGACTGCCCAGTAAGGACCGTCACAATCAAAAGACAAGTAGTGGCAAGAACGCAAGAAAAACTCCAGTAAAAAGACTGGCACCGCGAAATGACGGGAACATCATTAGTATTAGTATTAGTAGTATTACCATCGCCATTACCATACCCAGGGCCTGAAGACTGATTAGTATTAGTAGTATTACCATCGTCATTTTCATTCTCAGGGCCTGAAGACTGATTTGTGGAATAACAGTACTGATAGACAGAGTATGAAAAGACACCAACGAAAAGGCAAATTCCAAGCAAAACAAAAAGACCCCAAATCGGATTGAGCATGATACCAACAATAAGCCAACAAAAATGGTAAGCGACAAAGTTTGCAAACACGATATAAAGGCCTAACTTAAAGTCGTTACATTTGAGGTCAATACATTTAAAACATTTACAACATTTAAAACATTTAAAACATTTAGCATGACTGTAGCAACATGTGACAGCAAAGAATACGATACCCAGAGCGAGAATAGCTGGTTGTATTACCAGGATACATTTAGGAAAATTTTCTTTTTCAATCGAAAGAACCAATATCATTTTAACTATGTATACAGGGAATAATACGATAAATAAAAAAAACAAACAAACAAAATCCATGGTCTTCTGCTCAATTTTTTTCTGGGTCTCCCGATATTGCCATGCAAAGAAGGCCAAAAATGGTCCACTCATCACTGAAAAGATAGAGGAGCACAGTAACACCACTACAATCCGTTCACTGTGTCCCGTAGCAGTAATGTCTAACTGATGTCCTTCCATAATACACTCAGCAGAATTCAGTCGTGGGTCCCTTAAAGTTGGTTTAACGGCCAAATCTTCAAGCTGTGCAACAGAACAAAGGGAATGATTACCATAACCACCAACCTATAAGCCGCATTCACAGATAGGCTGAAAGTGAGTTTGTCAACTCAAATTTTGGAAAACAAGTTTAAGAAAAACAAGCTTTTGAAAAGGAATCAAAAGAAATCGCAAGTGGAGGCTTAGAAAGCTGCTTTCGTTTGGTTGCTTCATTAACCTTACGCTTACGTTAAGTCACTAACGTTGAAAAAGGAAAAACTTTGAATCCTTACCCGTCATTGTTAGCGCCAGTGGTATGAACAACATATATATCGACTTTTTATACCGAGGTCTACACGTTTGATCTTACTCTGGTGTTGTTCAACCAGTAATATTTTTGTGTTCCTAACAGATTTCCCGTAGAGTTTTATACAAAACGAAAGGAAACCCTTAGTGTGTTTGTTGGGTCGTTCGTTATCTAGTGAGAAGGGGTGCTGGAAACGGGCACCTTATGCACGGCTGTACAAGGCAAAAATCCTTGACGGGTAACGTTTAATTCATCAGTTATAGAGGCTATGGAGACCCTAAACTGGTTTAACGCCACCCAACGGCAAGAAATCTTACCATACTCTCATGAACAAGAGCGGCTCTTTTAGGAGTCTCCGAAATTGCAAAAGCGATGATTAATTTCTATCCTTGTATTTTTATGAAGTTCTTGTTTGTTTGCAATAGACTTTTGAATTTCCTATGAATAATATTAATCTATGCCAATTTGCTGCACGTTTTCCAGATGCTCTCGCTAACAAGCCGTACCCTTGATTTGTTACGAACATTTTTAGGAAAAAGGTCGGCTTATACGTCAGTGTTTACGGGTAATTAATTATTAGACATAAAACAAATATATCATGGCCAAATTTAAAAGAAAAAAAACTCACAGTAACACCTTGTTGGTAATGATTACTACCAAGTCATAACTGAACCAAGTCTACAAATTTGCATCCAAGTCAGCTCATTTAGTCACTCGTTTTGCGATCCAAAACTCTACTTGGAAGGTCTAAATTGTGCTGTACAGGTCTAAACCTTACAGAAGATTCAATAAAATCTTGGAAGTAATAGAACTGCTTTCCAGAAAAAATGACCAAGGCCATAGTTTGAGATTCTGAAGAGTAGCACAGTAGTTCAAACATGTTCACTTGTGATAAAAGCTGATTCTGAATTTGCTTAGTGCAACCTCGCCTCCAAAAGCTGAAATCACAAAGGCTCATTCCTCCTTTTCCCTTCAACTGATGACTTGTTTGAACAACTAGGAGCTACCCAAAAATGCATTCTCAACTCAACCACCTTTGCCGAACTACAAATTGTGAGACCTCTAAGGTGTTGTTAGGCTTGGTTAACGAGTTGTGATCTAAATGGCAGTGTCTAAAGTTCATTTTCAATCTCATTTAATATACCAGTAGTTTACGAACAGTGGCATTTAAGAATCTTCCCAAGACTACAGGAGGAATTCATTTTCATAAATACATTTTCATGGAAGTCTGAGAGGAGTATTCTATCATGGGGCACAATTGTTTGATGGATGTCATCCAATCTCTTAGTCTCATAAATGTCACTAGTAAAGTTTGTGTTCAATAATGAGGTGGTTTGCAGTCCTTGACAGATGAGGAGGAAATACAGAGTAACACCTCAATTGTCAATGGTTTAGAAATACAAAAAAAAAAAAAAGAAAAAATACTGTAATCAAACTGGTCATTAAATTTTGTGGCAGTCATATCTTGCACATTAAATTGACCAGTTTTTGCACTTTACGAGCGTTGTAAGGGTAAAGAAGACTAAAATGTCTGCTGAGAACCAATTTTTGACATTTCTATTCAAGCACTCCTTCCCTCCTCGCCCGAGGTTTTCTTAATGGACTACAAAAGTTATTTTGAGGTATCTTTCTTTTCTTTGTAAACTATGTAGTAAGTTATTTCTTCACATCAAAAACACTTGGCATAACTCGCAAATGTTAAAAAACCTAAAAATTTTCGTTCTCAAGGCTGGTTCTGAGATTTTTGAAATTGTGTTTTAGGCCCTCTCCAAGCCCTACATTATATTACTGCACTTATAATTCCCGCCAAGAACTTAGAATCCGGCTAGCATAACAAAGTATCATGGTGCTGAGAAAATCTTTTCAGCGAACATATATTCTACAAGAGATCAGGCCAATTTAATGTATCCAACTTCAAGGTTGGAAAATTTTCTGGTTATGATGGAGTTGTACTCATTCACAAATGACTTTGTTGTATTCATTTGGATTTGGACTTTCGTGCAGTAAGTATTGCTGGTGATCTTTAACTAAAAGTATCAAAGTACTTACGGCAGCTAGGGCATCCTCGATGTGCTTTTTTAATATCCCTTTCCTCACATCACAGCAGGAAATTGAAATTGTTATATTAAGCTTCTGAGTACGCCTGGTCACCTGGATTGCTCCTAAAGACCAAAATTCAAGGACTTTCGCAGGAAAAGCAGCATAAAAGCCAGATATGCTCCAGGTATACTTGGCGGCTGGAGTCGAAAGTTCTGTTTCAGTAGGGCCATAGACATTTACACGTACAAGAACTGAAGAGGGCCTCTTGGGTGGAAAAAGAGCTGATTCAATGTTAAAGCTGTTTTCTGACTTTGTTAAGATGTCATAGACTTGCTCGTATGTGATTTCGTCACAGGAAGCAGTAGAATGAACCGGACTGGTACAATTGTTGACCACTGCAGCTTCAGTCACATGCCTCGTTTGTAGACATATTGCCACGACTTGAACAAGGATCAAAACAGCAGGATTGTGCTGCATGGCTGTTATACTTGGCACACACTTTGAAGGTTACTATGGTTCTATAACTAGGGTATATAAAAGATGTTAATGCTGCGTCACATTCTGTCGATAGTGACATAGTTTAGGCAGTGATACATCTACCTACGCGTTCTAAGACTTGCATTGAGAAATATAATATCTCTGAGGTTATTTTCTGTGGGAGAGAAAGTATACTTAAAACAAAGAAAAGAGCGCGCGCATAGAAGGAAAATACCGCCTTTTGTAACACAATCTCATCCGGCTTTGCCAAACCTCAAGAACATACAGATGGGGAAATGACATCTTAAAACTAGCTCTTATCATCACATCGCAACAGAAAGTAATCAAGAGATATCCTGATAAGAACTTTACTAATAAGAGCTTAAGGTGGCTCGTACCAGTTTCCTCGCGCGGGGAACAGATCACTCCTGCGTGACGCGCGAGAGAAACGTGCGAAAGAAGCGCGAGATCAAAAGATGAAAATTCAAAACAAAGATGGCGGTGCGTGGATTTTTTTCTACTTTTGTGAGAAGTTTACCTAAGAGCGTGTATTTGATGTGTG